TGCATGCATGCTAATCCGCGGGGCGCTTTTCCCGAATAGCAACCCCAGTGCCAATGACGTCAGGACATCGCAGGTGGAATTCTTTGCCCATTCTCGCTTGAATGGCACACCAGAGCCACAAAGTGCAGCACTGACTAGCGGCCCGCGTCTCGTTTGGATGCTTACAGGCCAGAACACAAGCGGGCTCCGGCCTTCTTGTGTGGCGTTTGCATGTTCTCCCGCGTGGCTTTTCTCTCCTCCCACATTCCAAAAACATGCACGGCAGCCTCACGGAACGCTGGAAATTGTCCCGAGGTGTGAGTGTGAGTTGATCTATGTGTGTGTATGAGGGGGGAGGTCAGGTGTTACAGCAGTCAAAATAACATACAATAAAAGGTTCCTCTCGATGAAAAAAAAAAAAAAAGGAGAGAAACCAGACGTGCCATGAAAACGGCGATTGAAAATGTCAATATCAAACTCATTTTGGAGAGAATCACAAAAATTTGCAGTTCTGCTTACATTTGAACAATTTTGAAGAGAGGAGAGCATCAAATCATAAACCGATGACGAAAACTCCAACGTTCTCATGGACTCAAACACACACGCACACACGGAAACACTTTTCTGTCACTGTAAATCCAGCTAATGAATGAGCAGCAATGTCATTTTTAGGAGACGCTCCGGGCTGCTTAAAAAATGGACAGTGGGCCACAAATGGCCCCCGGGCCATAGTGTAGACACCCCTGGATGAGATCAACACACAGATAAAGGCACAGCTGCCCACATGGGGGGCGGCGAGAGCGAGAGAGAGAGAGAGAGAGAGGAATATATGAAGGAAGACAGATGGCGAGACAGAAAGAAAAGAGTAAAAGAGAGAGAAAAATGGAGTTGGTGGGAGCAATAGACAAGTGGCTGAGTCTCCATCCGTAATGTGAATTTCTGTCTCTCACGTCTCACCACAATTCACTTTTCCATCGGTATAATAGATGAAATTGCTTTTCTTTCGTTTGTCTTTGAAACAGATATTTTTAGTATTATGTTTCTAATCCACCATTTCCATGACGTCATGATTTCACATGTCCACTCTTTTCAGTGTCCATTTTTGATCTAATACCGTCATCAAAATACAAGCAAAACAGTCAGTCAGTTGAGAAATATTGACACACACATATATATATATATATCCGGAAATCATTGCTGATTTCTGGAGAGATAATGCACCCAATTCAGTTGCAGCCGAGTGGGCCAACAGATGACACAATGACAACACCTCGTCCCTCCATCCGTCCATCCACTCCACTCCACGCCCGCCACTCATGGCACTTGAAAGAATAATCAAGTCTTTCCCCCACTCTCCTCCCGCGTGCTGTGCCATGAGATCGCCCTGCTAGAATGATTTTGTTTTTTTTTTTTAAAGAAGAAAAGAAAAGAAAGGGGTAGGGGGAAAAAAGTGACCAAAGCGCGCATTGACGGAGCCCTCATTGTTGGGCCGAGCCCAAAAGAAAGGAAGGCCCTTTGGTCCTCCCGAAGGTGCGAGAGCAAAGCGGCGGGCCCTCCGCTTTGCTCTCGCCTGGTGGCATTTCAAAGTGTCAAGCTTTGAATACCAATTGCTTGAACTGGACATATGTGGATCCGCTGTAAACCCGCTAATCCCGTCCCCAAGTGTTCCTTTGTGTGTCGGGGGCGGGGGGGGGGGGGGCGTATATCGGGCTCGACCGCCCCCGACAGAAAGTGTTCCTAATCCGGCCAATGTGTGTCAACGAGGTGTGTGCGTCGGCTATGAAGTTGCGCGCAACCGCTGCCTTCGGAGGCGTTCATTTCACGTCATTACTCACGAAAAGTTGGCCAGATGGGCTTTCGGGGGAAATGCTGGATTGAATGGAAAACGCATTCTCACCTTTCCAGGCGGATCTAATTTGAGCTTCTCCAAAGACTCTCGGGGTTATTTTTACAAGCGTCCTTTTTGCATCCGCGTAGCCGTGAAAGCAAATGCCCGCCATTCTTTCTTCAGATGGAACCCGGGACCAGCAGATACGATGCAAACCGCGGGGGGCCCCAAAATGAAACCCCGCGGAACACCCGTATGACAGCGAGGCAGAGTTCGGATTCAGAGCCAGACGGATTCTTCCGGTCTCTCTATTTCTCTCTCGCAACTACCGAGGGGGGCGGCCGCTGAGCTTCGAGCGTCATCGGCGGACAACAGAGAGCCGGAGGAGTCACAGAAAGTCCTTGCAAATGTTCATCCATCAAACGCATGTTGTCCTTTTGCCATTCTGCAGCAAACTGGGCACCATGAAACAGAAACACCGAACCGTTTGAGAAAGTCAAATTGAGAACACCTGTCAAGGTGATCACGCAGGCTGAAAGGTCACCTCACAACATTTTGCGAGTCATCTACATGGTGATTTTTGTCGGCCACCGCTGTGATCATCGCCAAATTCGTCACACACGCTTCAGACCAACAAATGTCTCTCTCTCATATACTGTGTTGACATTTCCCATTTGAATTGTGTTGAAAACCAAAACAGCAGCGCCCCAGAAGCATGAATCAAAAGTGGCAACCACCCCCCCCCCCCCCCAAAAAAAAAAAAAAAAAAGGCTCCCACGACTACTGCCGCTGCACGAGCCGAGATGATGACGCTATGAGATTGCACGCAGACAGGAAAGATTTGACCGCTGAGCCTGTTTCAACTGTGCGGCGAACCAAAACCTCCAGGCGGGCAAAGGCAGGCATTTATCGCTGACTTTAAACGGACGCCTCTGTCGGTGACGCTGCCGTTTTGGTTGGCAACGGAGTTCAAACGGGCTCGGATGTTGTTAGAGGAATCTATGGGCGAAATTGTATCATTTCTTTAACTTTGTCCAAGAAAATCTCTGACAGATGTTCACTCAGAAATGTCGACGGGTGAACAATAGCGTCTGCCGACGGTCACAGAGGACCGTGCTCCTTGTCTTTTTCCCGCTAGCGTTAGGGAGGCATTCATTTGGGACTTTGGGTTGATACCTCTAATCGGTGTCGCTGTTTTGGCTGGCAAAACGCTTCAAAGTGGCATGTCAACAACTCCACTTTGAATGCATTCAACGAAAAAATGCAGAATATGTTGACGAGTTCATGTTGATCATCTACTTGTGCCTGCATGAGTCACACCGTTTTGTTGTTGTTGTTGTTGGTTGGTCTGCTTTTGAGAATTGATTTTTGTTTTATCTTATGGTTAAAAAAAAAAAAAGGATTTCCATCAAGGTTTGAGGGATTGTTGCAGCATACGGAGGACACAATCCAGTTTTTTTATGCCATGGAACGCAGCCTTTTCCAACTACATCACAAGTGGAATACTTGTTAGA